GTAACATTGAAGTTACGAGGGTGTGATAAGTTAACACTCTCAACCATGCTTCAACTTGTGCTAAATTGTAACCTACTGGAAAATCTAGACATGGAGAGCACGGGCTTGGGAAAGGGCAGCTCTATGGACTGTGAAAAGAGCTCAAAAATCACATGCCTCAATATGAAAATGAATTTCGAAGTTGGGAATAAAATGTCTTGAACAGGTTGCCTATATCTGCCGGAACTTGGAGACACTTTACATGTCTTCTTCCTCGGGTGTATCTAAAGAAGGCATTGCTAGTGTTGTCCAGATCTGTTCTGAGATTAGAAGCTTAAAGATTGATGACTGTATAGGGATTGAAAGTATTGGGGAGGGCCCAGAGTTTCCAAAACTCGAGGTCCTAAGCGCGGCTAGGTCAGGGTTTAACGACAACGGACTTTCAGCGATCGGGACCAGATGTTCTGGGCTCCTAAAATTGGTTCTTGATGGCTGTAATGGAGTCACAAGAAGCGGTGTCGAGGAAGTGGCGAATAAGTGTAAAAAGTTGCACGTAATCAAGTTGTGGAAGTGTACCCTTGTTGATGCCGGTGTAGTTGAACATATTGTATTCTCTTGCGTGTCACTAAGGAGAATAACATTTCTTAACTCCGAGCTTATTGAAAAGGTTGTTCTTCCAGCTTGGGTGTATAGTTCAGGGGGGACACTAGTTTGTTAGAGTTTGTTTCTTCTTGTTTGTATACATTGTATACTTCCCTGTTTTGACAAGTTGTAAGAATCATTTTTTTTCTCATCAATATACAAGGCATATTTTTTCATCTTTGTTAGGGTTTTGTTCTTTATATATGAAAAAACCAACCCTCTATTTCATATTTATTCAGGATTTGAATTTATTAATCTTGATTCACATTTTCTGGTGGGAACCCCTTCCAAGGTAAATCCTTCCACTGTCTAAGTTTGGGTTTTTGAAATTCTGTCAAAATAGTTTCTACTTGCATATGATATGAGGTGTCTAATTGTTTGAGTGTTCCTTAACAGTAGGTTTGTATTTGGGAGTAGGGTATTCTATATTGTGGATTATAATCTAATCAATCTGGAGTCTTGTGTAAAATATTATCCCTCAACCTTTATCAACTTCTTTAAGCAGAAGATACATTAACTTATAGCAGTACTAATTTGCGAACTGAACTTGCTTTTATCAAACTTAATCATCTGACCAGAGGAATCAAGATATTCCTTAAGTAAGTTTCTCACTCTCACCAAGTTTCTCACATCACCATTAGTAAAGATAACTAGGATAGGTCAGCAGCATATGCAAGGTGTGACACAGTAGGGACTCTGCTAGCATAAAAACTAGAAATATGACAAGATTGTACTTCTGCCTTCAATTTTATGCTAAACCCTTCACTGCCAATTATGAAAATTGAGGGGTGCCAATTATGAAAACTGAGGGGGATAGTGGATCTCTTTGCTTTACTTCTCTACTAATGTTGAAAAAACTTTCAGGTTTTCCATCAATAAGTAGGGACAATTTAGTAGCCTCTAAATTAACAAAAAAGTAGATGAATGGCTTTGGAGTTGAATCCAAATCTGTCCATCACCTCTTGAAGATATCTCCAGCTAATCTTATCAAAAAAGCTTTAGCCGTATCAATTTTAATTATGACATTGCCACCTCTTACATCTCTCTTCAGTTCATGAGCCATTTCTTTAGTCAATAGGATTTGATCATCATTGGATCTTCCTTTTTTTTTGGGATTAAAGTTACAAATGTAATCCCATATGCTTGAGGTACTTTAATCCCTAGAAAGAATTCTTGTGATGCACTCAACATGTCATCTTTAATGATATCCCAGCTTGTCTTGAAGAATTTACCATTGTAGCCATCTGGTCCAGTCGGGACTGCTGCATCATTTAAACTCCAAACAGCCTCTTTGGTTTCAGTCAATGAAGGCAGTGCAACCATCATTTCATTATCACCAGATTGGGGATATAATTGATGATAGGTTCCCATATGTTGTCATGCTCTTCATTAAGTAAGTTTGTGAAATGTTCAACTGCCATTTTAGCAATATCTTCCATGTTGCTTTTCAGGATACCATCTTTATCCTTCATATTTCTGATCTTCAATTTAGCTCTTTTACTCTTGACATAAGAGTGAAAGAAGCTAATACTGGCATCCCCATGTTTTAGCCAGGTAATTGTGGATTTTTTTATGCAAAAATTCTGCCTCTCTACTGGTAGCTTGTAGTAGTTCAGCTTCTGCCAAGCTCTTGATAGTTTGTTTGCTCTCAGTAGGGTCCCTTTCAAAATCTTGTTGTGCCAAAATAGCTTTTAAGTTCAGCTTGCTTGACCTTGGTATGAATGTCACCCAAAGTAATTATGCTCCATTCTTTTAAATGTGTCTTTAGTTTCTTAAGTTTATTGGCCATTCCAGACATCCCTCCTGCTGAATGGTGATCCTTCCAGCTATTTTTGACTACCATTTCAAAGTCTTTGTGTCCCACCCAAAAATTAG